CTCAACTGAATATCCACTTATAATGCAGTGTAGATCAAGAGAGGTCACTGGGGCTCTTCTATTCTGACCTGAGCTAGTTTACTGTGTCCAGTGTATTGTCAAAGGCTTTCATGGCCGGAATCACTGGGTTGTTGTAGTTTTTTTTGGGCTATATGGCCATGTTCTAGAGTCATTCTCTCCTGACGTTTCACCTGCATATATGGCAAGTATCCCCAGGTAGTGAGGTCACAACCTCTGAGGATGCTTGCCATAGATGCAGGCGAAACGTCAGGAGAGAATGCCTCTAGAACATGGCCATATAGCCCAAAAAAAACCTACAACAACACTGTGTCCAATTCTAGTCACCACAATTCAAAAGGGATATTGACAGGCCGAAACAGATCCAGAGGAGAGCAACTAAAACGATCAAGGGTCAGGAGACCATGAAGCCCTCTGAGGAGCAGCTGAAAGAACTGATTGTGTTTAGCCTGCAGGAGAGAAAGTTGAGAGGAGACATGAGAACCATGTTTAAATATGTGAAAGGATGTCATAAGGAAGAGGGAGCAGGCTTGTTTTCTATTGTCCTGGAGACGAGGACTCAATGGAGCCATGGGTTCAAATGGCAGGAATGAACAATAGGGAGAACTTCCTAACTGTGAGAGCTGTTTTTTTTTTAATTTTTTAAATTTTTTTATTATTATTATTATTGTATAATACATAGAAACATACCATCTTTGAAAATAACATTCAAAATACCAGTTTTTTCCCCAATCCCGCCACCAGCACACCCCCCCCCCCCCCCCCCCCCCCCCCGGGAACAAATAAATACGTTAGCTGTGTAACTGTGAGAGCTGTTCAGCATTGTAACTCTCTGCCTTGGAGTCTAGTCAAAGCTCCTTCCTTGGAGGCGTTGAAACAGAGGCTGGATGGCCATCTGTCGGAGGGGCTTTTTCTGCACGGCAGGGAGTTGGATTGGATGACCCATGTGGTCTCTTCCAACTCTATAATTCTATTATTCTTTTCCTTTTCCTGTTGTGTTCTATGTTTCTGAGCACTACTGTTTTTCTAATGAGCAATGACATTCCTAAAATATGACAGTCTCGTAGTTATTATTTTAGCTGTTGGATGGTGCGAGCTTGTTATCATGGATGAGTGATTGTTTGTGCAGTTCAGACCAGGAGAGGACAGCCTCTCCATTTCTGTCCTATTGGGCATAGCCCCATACATGGCTATGGCTGTTGAAGTCACCAATTACTACCGCCCTTTGGTGCCTGTCAAAGTTCTCGGGGGATGAGAAGCAGAACTCTTCATTGCTTCTGGATCGAGAGAATCAGCCGTCTACAAAGACGTTGCCCAGGGGATGCCCGGATGTCTTGCAATCCTGCGAGGAGGCTTCTCTCATGTCTCATGCCCAGTGTGGAACACATCTCACCACACTAAAACAGTGGATGTGGCTCTTAATAAGACATGCCGCATTATCACAGGGTGTCTGCGCCCCACAACACTGGAAAAATGACATTGCTTAGCCGGTATTGCACCACCTGACATCCGCCGGGAAGTTGCAGCCAATAGTGAAAGGACCAAGGCAGAGACATCTCCAGCTCATCCCTTGTTTGGGTATCAGCCAGCACGTCAACGACTTAAATCAAGAAATAGTTTTCTTGGATCTACAGAGACACTCGCTGGAACACCTCAGCAAGCGAGAGTCCAAAAGTGGCAGGCTCAAACCCAGCACCTCAATCCGTGGGTGATACCAGATGAGAGACTTCCTCCTGGGTACACGGAAGACTGGGCGACTTGGAAGACGCTGAACAGACTGTGCTCTGGCACCATGAGATGCAGAGCCAACCTTCAGAAATGGGGCTACAAAGTTGAATCCACGACATGCGAGTGCGGAGAAGAGCAAACCACTGACCACCTGCTGCAATGCAACCTGAGCCCTGCCACATGCACGATGGAGGACCTTCTTGCGGCAACACCAGAGGCACTCCCAAGTGGCCAGATACTGGTCAAAGGACATTTAATCAGCTACCAAGTTTGCAAAATTTGTGTTGTTGTTGTTGTTGTTGTTGTTGTGTTTTTTTATCTGTTTGTTTGTTTTGTTCTGTTTGAAATGTAATACAATGTTACAATGTTCTGGTTGCGGATGAGGGGACGGAGCCTAACATTCTAATGCAGGAAAAAATGTACCTTTTTGAATTTGAGGCTTGAGTTTTGGCAGTTGGGATTTGTCAGTTGGGAGTTGGATAGTCGGTTGGTGTTCACAGTTGGATAGCGCTAGATAGGAGAACTGGATTAATCTTTCGTAGTATTCAAGGGCTAGAGAAATTAGCCAGGAATACTGAGAGTGGGAACAGGACCTTGCTTATGCTTAAAAAACTCTAAAATTACAACAGCAAAACAGCAGAGAGGAAACAACCAGGCACATCTTAACACCTCTCAACAAAAGATTTTCCCAGGCTCAGCCAGGCCTTCAAATGCTAATGAAGGTGGTCAGTTGAAACATTCACACCTAGCTCCAGCAGAGAAGAGCTCTGTGCCCCACCCCAGCCATTCCACAGATATATAAACCCATTGTCCTAATTCCAACAGACCTCACTACCTCTGAGGATGCTTGCCATAGGTGCAGGCGAAACCTCAGGAGAAATGCCTCTAGAACATGGCCCTATAGCCTGAAAAAACCCACAAGAACCTGGTCTGTTTCTCTTATTCCTGGGGAAGGCTAGGCCAAGATTGTTTGGCTAGATTCCAGAAAGTGGGAATTTGGTTTGGAATTATCATCAGAAATTGGTTTCCTGAGATAATCTCCTGTTTGTTATGTCTAGATTTGAACCCAGTACCCATCTAAGAATTGTACATCAAACGTAACCAAAAGCTTTTGTGCCATTAACTTACAGAAACCATTATTTATTTGTACCAGAAGAGTTTAAGCCTGTTAAATAAACGTTTTATTATAGTTAACACATTCCAGCAGCTGGTGTGTGAAAAATCATTGGTACTTATACCCTCTGAAGAAAATAAACACTATAGTAACACAGAAGGGTGTTACTAAGTATCCTCTCCACACATATAACTCAGCCTGAATACTAAGCGATAAGGTGGCAGCGTACCCCAATTGAAGAAACAGTTCCAACTTAATTCAAACATATATTCAGTTACCACCCTCCTGTGATATTCATTATAAAGAAGTTCTTTAGTGGGAAGTTCCTTATATCTGGTGAAATAGCGTTGGGATTATTTTTATATTGTAGGGGCAAAGAAACCAAAATATTTCCCAAAAAGGCAGAAGCCCCCTTTCTAATAGGGAGGGCAAGGATGGACACCACAAAAGTTGAATCTTTTAAACTGCAAAAAACTATTTATTGCGTGGCCATAGCAATAACGACAAACAAGCATACAGGGATGCAATCAAAGGGTTTGTCGCAACCCCCTATGGGGCTGCAGAGCATTTATAGTAAATGGAATATACATTTTCATTGGTTCCCAAAGACAAATCATTTCATTGGTCTAAGTTATGCAGTTGTTCATTGGTTGTTTATGATTTTGATTGACATTATAGCACACGTGGGATCCTAACAATGGCACAACATGGTCTACTGTTCTCTGACCATGACTGTATTTTATCTGTTAGTCTGTTGCAAACATGGCTCCAGAGTGACTGGGAAACTTGGGGGTTCTAACTAGCCAACAGCTAGCTGGTTTTGTCCGGATATATTGTTATCCTTGAATAGTAACTTCTTCTTTGGAGCACTAATTTCTCAAAGAATCAGCATTTTCTGTGAACATAGGCCTACTGCAGAAATAGGCCAATATGGCAGTAAATCATGACATATGGGCATTGGGGAAATATCTGAAAATTCCCTTTTTAAAACCACGTCTCCTCCACCAGCAGCTGGTGTGTGAACATCATTGGTACTTAAACCCTCTGAAGAAAATAAATACTAGAGTAACACAGAAGGGTGTTACTAAGTATCCTCTCCACACATATAACTCAGCCTGAATGTGAAGAAATAAGGTGGCAGCGTACCTAATTGAAGAGGCCTTTTAAAACCCTCACAGTTCAAAAGTCATTAAATATACCCATACACAGTTATATCTGTTAGCGTCAGCAGAAGTTTTGCACAAGCTTGGAATAAAACATGGACTCTGGAGACATTTGGTTACAAAGCAAGTTCAATTTTACTTAGAGCAGTTCCAAAACACGACCATTACAGTAAGCGAGCAGACTTGAAGTACACAGTACGCAGGACAAAGGAAGTTGAAGTATAAACAATACTGCAGCTGTTTGGCATGATACCAAACACTCCCTAATTTTCTCACAGCTTCACACAGGGTTACTTTCTCACAGCCTCTAACATAAATATACATCCTAGGAATACAATCTTGTGGCAACCATATTTCTACTGCATGAAATTACATTTAAACACATAACATACATCAACATACACTGACAATATCTTTCCCTGTTTTATCAATTTCCCTCCTGTGATATTCCCTGCTAAAAGAAGTTCCTTGGTGTTGAGATTTCATTATAATGGGGGGCACAAGTGTGAAGCGCCTGAGTGTGAATTGGAAGTCTGTCCTTATAGTTGATAACTTTAAAAAATAGAATAAAATGAAATAAACCTTTGGTGCTCACCTATAATAAAACTTTATTTATATTCCGCCCTATCTCCTTGGAGGGACTCATCGCTATATTTTGCCCATCCGGAGATAGAAGCTGCACGAGTAGTTGTTCTGTTGTATTAGTCAAGATTTTAATATTGTGAAGAATTTGTTCAGTGGATTTTGTCATGGGTTATTTCATACAACAATGTAAACGATGTAAATACAATAGAAACGATGTAAATACAAGGCTATAGGGCAGGCATGGGCAAACTTGGGCCCTCCTCCAGTAGGCTGTTAGGAATTGTGGGAGTTGAAGTCCAAAACACCTGGAGAGCCCAGATTTGCCCATGTCTGTTATAGGGAGCGTGCCTCTGTTTTCAAATAGTTTTATTGGTTTTTCTTTCTTTCTCTAGCGGGAGTCTGACCATAACCAAGACCTCAAAAAACGCATCAAGAATTATCAGGACAGGGAGGCGGAGATTGAAAATAAGCTCCAGGAACAAATTGAAATCAACAAAACCTGTCAGAAGAACGCCGAGTCCTTGAATAAGAAGCTGCAGGATAAGGAGAACAAATTGGCTGAAGCCAATGAGGTAAAACCAATCCTGTTTTTTAAATATTTACCTCTTGTAGTTTCTGAGTATACTTTGGGATTTATATCAACAGCTGTTACACTTGGGACACATGATAATATTGATAACATGAACATTCTCAGTGTTTTGATTTTTGCTTCAGAAAATGGCTGAAGATTTCAACAATGGAAGGTTTATTTTTTATGTGTCAGGAGTGACTTGAGAAACTGCAAGCCACTTCTGGTGTGAGAGAATTGGCCGCCTGCAAGGACGTTGCCCACGGGACGCCTGGAGGCTTCTCTCATGTTCCCGCATAGGAAGCTGGAGCTGGCAGACAGGAGCTCACCCCCATCCCCAGATTCATAACTGCTGTTCTTTCGGTCAGCATTCCTGCTGGCACAAAGGTTTAACCCATTGCGCCACTGGGGGGGGGGTGAGCCCCCGGTGGCGCAGTGAGTTAAACCCCTGTGCCGGCAGGACTGAAGACCGACAGGTCGCAGGTTCGAATCCGGGGAGAGGCAGATGAGCTCCCTCTATCGGCTCCAGCTCCTCATACGGGGACATGAGAGAAGCCTCCCACAAGGATGATAAAAACATCAAAATCATCCTGGCGTCCCCTGGGCAACGTTCTTGCAGACGGCCAATTCTTTCACACCAGAAGTGACTTGCAGTTTCTCAAGTCGTTCCTGACATGTCCAAAAAAAACCCAAAAAAACAAAAGCCAAATATTGGGGGTTCCAACAACGGAAGGTGTGGAAGGTGGTCTAAAGAGAGCATTTGCCAAAAATAGTTTTGCCTCAAGCTCCCATTGTTTATCAAACGAAATGGAATCGGAGGTGTTTTTATAAGACCACCACAACAGGACAATATTTTAACAAGGAGACGCTAATGATGCTGGTTTCATTGAAACCAATCTCCAAGAAGCTTTTCCAACAGCTTCCTGAAATTTTTGATTTTTTCCAAAATTTCTTAAGTCTAGTACGTGGTCCAGAGCTGATATATCTTGGAATAGTATTTGTTTTTGTTTTTTTTTTGTTCCCACCTTTCCTACAGCATGGGATTCAAAGCAGATTGTGAGGTTCTTTCCAAGAGAGTTCTGGAATTTTATGCTCTGATGTTTTTCATTCTTAATGTTCAGTTTTCTGAAAAGAGCAAAGTTGCTCAGAAACTATCTCTCTCTACACTTGCATATCTCAAGCCTGAACAAAAATGTAACAGTATACAAAAGTTCTAGGCTCTGCCTGCTTCCTGGGCATTGCCTGATCAACCAGCTTCATCATCTTATTTTACAGTTGACACACACACAGTAGCTGATTCCTTGCATGGTCCAACAGAATTTATTATCTATTATTATTTATTTACAACATTTATATGCCACCCTTCTCACCCCGAAGGGGACTCAGAGTGGCTTACAAGATATATCTACATACATTATATTATTAGCATAGTACAATATCAGTATTATATATGACTATATTGTACTACATCATTATATTGTAATATTATTAGTAATATAATAATATATAATATAATAAATATAATAATACAATATTTATTTGTCGTGTCATGGCAACCAGACAATTATATTACATTTCTAACAGAACAAAGCAAACAAACAGACAAAATACAAAATTTGTGAGTTTGGTAGTTGATTAAATGTCCTTTGACCAGTATCTGGCCACTTGGAGTGCTTCTGGTGTTGTGCAAGAAGGTCCTCAATTGTGCATGTGGCAGGGCTCAGGTTGCATTGCAGCAGGTGGTCAGTGGTTTGCTCTTCTCCACACTCGTATGTCATGGATTCCACTTTGTCTCGTATGTCATGGATTCCACTTTCTTGAGGTTGGCCCAGTCTTCTGTGTGCCCAGTGAGGAGTCTCTCATTTGGTATCAGCCATTGGTTGAGGTTCTGGGTTTGAGTCTGCCACTTTTGGACTCTCGCTTGCTGAAGATAATACAATAAATATAATAATATAATGCCCACATCCTTTGGATATGCAGTAACTTAGTTCAGAAGTCACTGATTTGTACAGCTCTTTTGGAAACTTAAATGCTGTTGTCTTTGGGGGGAAATTATGCAGCTTCTATTAGAAATTCAGCTGCAGAGAAAACATTCATATGGTGTTGCGTGGAACAATTTGCATCCTTGTGATGGATCCTTGTGTAGATGCAGAGTTTAGCTTTGAATCTTGCTCTTTGCATGCCAACTTGAGGTTACCTCCTTAATTGGTGCCGACAGTAAGGGTGACAGATGAGAGCGCAAAGCATTGGCTTCGCCTTTGTTCTGAAACGACGTCTTCAAAGGTCTGATTATGAGTTTGTGCTCCTTTGCTCTCATCGGCAGTTTTTGATCAGAGGCAGTTGGTTGTCTCCGGCACCCAGTTTGGCGTTCCAGTGGTGTATTTGTGCATCCTTTCTCCTCAGACAATCACTGTGCTGAAAGGGAAGATATCACAGTTGCAGTGGAACTTACTGGATCAGGAGTTACAAATGAAGAACTGTGAATCGCAGAAGCAGGAACTGACTGAACAGCTGGATGTACTACACAAGTGAGTAGGGGATTAACCAGACTGCCAGGAAATAAAACCTTTAGTCCTTGGCAGCTGGTGTCACTCAGGGAAAAAAATAAAAGTTTCAACAGCTTTTGATTTTTGCAGTTCAAAGGGCTGCTTTGATCAGGACGTATAGTGCTGAAAATGTGATGCATTGAAAACAAAATAAAAAAAGTAGGAAATGGAAATTACTTTAAAGGAAGGGAAATATTCTAATTGCAAAAATCTTCCCCAACTTCTCTGCTGTAAGGAATTGGAATCTATATTTATTGATGGTGCTGAGCAAGGCTAGTTCAAGGGGAACACGTGCTTTCTTCTTTTATCCTTCTGTCTTGCTTCTCATGTTTTTGTTTACCAGAAATGCTGATGGTTTATTATTTATTTATTCGAACCTGTGACCTGTCGGTCTTAAGTCCTGCTGGCACAGGGGTTTATTGAATCCGGGGAGAGGCGGATGAGCTTCCTCTATCAGCTCCAGCTCCTCATGCGGGGACATGAGAGAAGCCTCCCACAAGGATGATAAAAACATCAAATCATCCGGGTGTCCCCTGGGCAACGTCCTTGCAGACGGCCAATTCTCTCACAGCAGAAGCGACTTGCAGTTTCTCAAGTCGCTCCTGACCCGACAATTTTTTTTTATTTAAAACTTTTATATTCCGATCTTCTCTACCTCTACAGAAGGACTCAGACCGGCTGACAGCAAAGATTCAATGCTAATACTAAAAATCTAAAACATAATACATCCACAATAAATTAACAAATACATATAGGATAAATTACATAAAGGCCGTTCGCCAAGATAAAATCGTGTCCAACTCAGTCCGTATATTCAGTCCATATATTGTGATTTAGATCAGGCATGGGCAAAGTTGGGCTCTCCCTCCAGGTGTTTTGGACTTCCACAATTCCTAACAGCCTCAGGCCCCTTCCTTTTCTCCCTCAGCCACTTAAGCGGTTGAGGGGGAAAAGGAAAGGACCTGAGGTTGTTAGGAATTGTGGGAGTTAAAGCCCAAAACACCTGGAGGGAGGACCCTACTTTGCCCATGCCTGGTTTAGACTGTGGATAGCTGCATCTCCACAAAATGTAACATCACACCCCCTCAGGCCCCAGAACACCTGTATAGGATGTAGGTGGATTTTTTGCCAGGTATTCAAGCCTCTTGATGAACCATTTTAGACCTAAATGAGGTCCTTTCTCACTATAGGAAGTGCAGGAGAGTGAGTTGACCTTTTGCAAGAAAAAAAATTGACACTGGAATACGCTCAGTACTACATAGATATGCGCACTAAATTTGTTCCTACATTTTTGTTGTTATGTTGATTCGGAAGCACAAAATAGGAAGCCCCCTCCCCACACGAAAATCTGCTCGACACGAAAGCTTGCCTACAGCCTGCTATAGTGTGCACCCGAACTTGCCTCCTTGCCTTGGAAAGAGAGTGCGTGTGTGGTGGGGCATTCAGGCAGGCATGGAGCTCGGCTGCAGGCATGTTCCAAGCCTGCCTGAACATCGCGCTACACATGCACTCTCGTTGAGTGAGGTGGCAGGATGGAGTTTTCAAGCAGGTTTGGAGGGGGGCTGCAACTGAGCGGCTCTTACTCTAGAGTAAGAGGTGCACGGCAGCAGGCATTGGCAGGCGTGCACACTTTCTGGGCCTGCCTGCATGTCTCACCATGCACGCACTCTCTTTCCAAAGCAAGGAGGCAAGTGTGGCAGGCCATGCGCTGTGGGGCATGCAGAAAGGCCCAGAGCGGGCCTGTAGCTGAGTGCCTCTTACTCTAGAGTAAGAGTCACTTGCCTGCAGAGACTGGCAGGCACATGCCCTTTCATGCCCCACCACACATGTACTCTTGGAGAGTATTGAGTGGTGTGTGTGGTGGGGCGTGCAGAAAGGCCTAGAGCGGGCCTGTACCTGAGCGCCTCTTACTCTTCTGGGCCTGCCTGCACGCTGCACCACACACACACACACACACACACTTTCCAAGAAGATTGCGTGTGTGGCGGGGTGTGCAGACAGGCCTGGAAAGCACATCCTTGCCAGTGCCTACAGCTAGGTGTCTCTTACTCTAGAGCAGAAACAGCAGGCATCAGGTAAAAAGAACGCACACCAGAAAGAGGAGCCAATGGGTGGAAAGCCCCCTCCCCTCATAATGGTCCTATTTTGGGGGTCCCAAAATGAAATAACAGAATACAACCCTCCCAATTTCGGGAGGCTTACAAAAAAATAAATCTGTGCTTCCATCGAAAGCCAAAACACTAAACGGTTCTCCCCGAATGCACATGACTCGTACTACACAAATAGCCCTGGGGCTCCATATGGCCCATGAGCCATATAACTTGTATAATAGTTGCACTTTTTATCTTTCTTAGTAGTGCAATGCAGCCAAATTAAAAGTGTTAAGATTTTGGAAATTCTGCTAGTGAAGCACACCAACACACTTCCAGTCAGAACTTATCTCTTGTTTGGTCATGATAAATACAATTTTAGGTGTATGCAGGATTCTAGTGCGGAACATCTACTTAAAATAAAATGTCACTATGGGAAAAAATATCGGGAACCATTAAACATTGTGTGAATGATACTTTTGTTCGGTATACAGAAGTGTTCTGCCACTGATAAATTACAGATAAAAGTATATGTAAGTTGTGTGCTTGTGGTTTGTAATGTGCTGATGCGTATAATAAATAGATATCATGTCTACATCCAATAGAAAATGGCAAGAAGCCAGTCAGCAAATTCAGGCTCTACAAGCAAAGGAAGAGCAGGTGATTGAGATGGAGCAGAAAGTGAAGGTGAGAATCTTTTATTCGTCTAATGATTTGCTGATTCTCTGTATGCTTCAATGTCATCTCACTTGGATCAATCCTTGTCCCTGAGCTGTCAGGTGTCAGTCCTTCATTAGGTTCTAGGAAAGAAAGAAATAATTGTAAACAATGGGCCTAAATATGGCGCCAATCCATAGCTAAAGGTAAAGGTTTCCCCTTGGCATTAAGTCTAGTCAAGTGCAACGCTGGGGGTTGGTGCTCATCTCCATTTCTAAGCCGAAGAACCAGCATTGTCCGTAGACACCTCCAAGGTCATGTGGCCAGCATGACTGCATGGAGTGCTGTTACCTTCTCACCAAAGCAGTACCTATTGATCTATTCACATTTGCATGTTTTCAAACTGCTAGGTTGGCAGAAACTGAGATTAACAGCAGGAGCTCACCCCATCTTGCAGATTCGAACTGCTGACCTTCCGGTCAGTAAGTTCTGCAGTTTAGCAGTTTAACCCATCTGCGCCAGCGCAGCCCCATGGCACACAGTAAATCCTTGGCACACTGTAAAATAAAATCATTGCTAGCCCACTACCTTTGGTAGCCTGGAAAGAACTGCTGTAGCAGACTGATTTTAGAACCATGCCAGCCTCCTCTTCCACCTTGCAATTGAAAAATAAATTCAAAAAGAACATCAAAGTTATGTAAAGTATTTTTATTTTTCTATTGTCCATTTTCTATTGTGTTGAATTATTCATGGACACATCTTCTAGACCACATGTGTCAAACTCAAAGCTCACCGGCCAAATCAGGCCTGCCATGTCATTTTATGTGACTGTATAGATCAGGTACGGGCAAAGTTCGGCACTCCAGGTGTTTTGGACTTCAACTCCCACAATTTCTCACAGCCTACCCAGCTTTTAAGAATTGTGGGAATTGAAGTCCAAAACACCTGGAGGGCCCAAGTTTGCCCATACCTGTATTCCTCATCATTGGACATCATGACTGGAGCCAATAGAAGTTGGGATACAAAAATATCTAGAACAGGCATTCTCAAATTGCGGCCCTCCAGCTGTTTGGGCCTCCAACTCCCAGAAGCCCTAATGAGCTTGTTCAATTGTCAGGAATTCTGGGAGTTGAAGGCCCAAACAGCTGGAGGGCCGCAGTTTGAGGATGCCTGATCTAGAAGGCTGCAGGTGGTTCTGTTTAATCCGGGGGGGGGGGGGGGGGGGGTTGGAGTTAGAGACAAGGCTCATGGGTATGATGTCCAACTTTAATATTTCCTTTAATTTCCTAAGGACTCTAATTGGGCAAATATTATAGAGCTTTGACCACTATGTAAAAATGTTATAGTTGGCCCTCTGTATCCATATACATCACTGGTTCTCAACCTGTGGTCCGTGGTCTGCAAGAACTAAAATATGGTAACGGTCTCAACCATTGCAACAAGATCGACTGGTCTCACAAAGAGTTAGTAATAATATTAAGAGTTAATAATAATATTTTCCCAGTCGTATTATACCAAATAACACACTGGATGTAAAGGAAGTGATTTCATTGGTTTAGCAGTGACCACATTCTGGGTCTTAAAACCTGCCAACTTATTTTGTTCTCTTATAGTGCCGCGGCTTATTAAATATGGTTTTTCTGTGTGCGAGCAGATGGCGACTACTGGATGGCATATGTTCTGTATCAGAAACTAGAGCCGATGTGGTCTATCACATGCAATTTTCTGAATCGGCACCCCAAATAACCAAACCGAATCTAAAGTTGACCAAAAACTGATTTGTTACCACTTTGGTACTAATGTTGGAAAGTGGTCTCTGGTCAAAGTGGTCCCTGGTCAAAAAAAGCTTGGGAACCACTGATGTACATGATTCAGTGGTTCTCTGAGTTGGCCCTCAATGCACATGAGTTTGATAGGCTTCTTCTGGGCTCTGTGACTTATTGGTTTGGTTAGGCAGTCAACATAAATGTGTCCATTGTAAGTGTGACTTTTGAAACTGGTTTTTTTCCCCTTATTCCCTTGATCTTTTGGTTTGCAGGATCTGGAACAAAAGCTCTCATTGCAAGAACAAGATGCTATAATTGTGAAGAACATGAAGACAGAGCTAGCCCAATTTCCCAAAATGGAGCGGGAGCTGCAGCAGCTTCGAGAGGAGAATGCTTATCTTAGGTTAGAAGGCAAAACATAATCTTTGGTTCTTCTTGTCCATCTGTTGCTGCTTTTGCACCGAGTTTCCATTGTTGGGTTTTGAATCCAGAAGTCCCAAATCAATTCTCTTTATTCCTGATTGACAAAATAATCATACTCGTTTTGCATGATTGCAGTTTTAACTGGTAATATTTACAATAGTAGAAATTGATTGTTTGTCATTGGATTTCTCAGAACGCAACTAGAGTAAAGGATGTCTTGAATAAAGTTTTCCCCTTTCTCTTCTCAGAGAAATGAAAGAAAATAATGGGTTGCTTAAAGAGGAAGTGGAGGGTCTCCAGAGGAAACTGGAGCGCTATGAGAAGGTTCAGGCAGAAATGGTGGCTTTGGAGTTGGAGAAGGAGGTGAGGTTTCAATGATATAACAATTATTCTGAGTTAATTTTCTAATGTTATCATACACTTTGCATCTCTAGAATTTTTAGCCTGCTGGGCTTGCTCAAAAATTTGTTCTGAGAGAAAAAATAAGTTGCTGTTCTTGTTGTTAGCAATAATAATAATAATAATAATAATAATAATAATAATAATAATAATAATAATAATAATATCTATACCCTTCCTTTAACCCCATAGGGACTCAAGGTAGCTGACAAATAGACACACCCAGTATTATCAGTATCTATATCTATCTATACACATAATAAAAGTGAAAAATGTGTACGTGTGTATGTGGTGGAGGTGTCTACTTAGATAGCCTCACACCTCCACAAACAAGCCATGGTTCCAAGTGCTGAGAAACCTCCAAAGGCTCTCCCTCAACTGACAGGTTATAGCGCGCACCATGAACATGTAGCCCGAACACCGCCAATGTCCTCCCAAAATACTATGTCCCAGCACCCAAGGAATGCTTTCATTCAGGGAGAATTTCATCCTAGATTTGACGTGTTTCCTCCACCACAGGCAGGCATCCCAGGGTTCCTTGTGTGGAATTTGCATGCCCACTGCATCTCTCTTAACCCTTTCCTAACATTTCTTATGGCACACAACAAACATAGAGGAATTGATCAGCAACTGAAAAGACTGAAGGGTTTTGGGGGACTGACTCAATAGCATGGAAGTTGTAGTTCACCCGGCATCAAGGCAGAGCATTCTGACCCCCTTCAATAATGGACCTGGACCACATTTGGCACGCAGAACCCCCATGACCAGGTTTGAAGGAATTGACCTTGATGTATAGGAGTTGTAGTTCTCCTACATCCAGAGAGCTTTGTGAATCCAACCATCGATGGATTTGGACCAAACTTGCCACAGATGATAGGACTTGGAGTACCTGATATTACCCAACACCCCAAAACAAACAATGTCTTTTTCAAATATTCCAGGCACCGCCAGGTACCCAACTAGTTTGAAATAAGACAGATACAATGTGTAGTTGAAGGCTTTCATGGCCGGAATCACTGGGTTGCTGTGAGTGTTCTGGGCTGTATGGCCATGTTTTAGAAGCATTCTCTCCTGACGTTTCTCCCACATTGATAGCAGGCATCCTCACAAGTTGTGAAGTTTGCAAGACAGATATAAAAAATAGAATAAAGCAAAAAGTATATAAACAATTTGGCAAGAGTGCTGTGTATTGTTGACACTCTAAACCAGGCTGTTATCACTATTGTGACAGCTTTTATTTGAAAACACCTTTGGATGTCTCCTGCTAACCAGGACTTACATACAGATGGTAGCCCTTAGTGCACATAGAAAAGAAGAAACTGGAATTTACACATAAATCATTGTAGCTCTTAAGCGAGACTAAGTACAGTGTTGGATCAATACCATTGATTTCTCCATATTGGTGTGAAAATAGTTGTTATAGCACACAATAGTGGTGTTGATGATAGCACATGCAATCCACTCAACCTCCTGGTTTAAAAAATAATATGAGCCTGGAGGTGAAATTTCTGTTAGAAAGAATAATTCATAGCAAGGACAGTTGCTGGGAGCCATTGTGATGTAGTCGTTTGACTTCTGGACTAGGACTTGAATCTCTGCTCAGCTATGTAAACCCATTGGGTGAGTTTGGGCAGATCACACTCACTCAAGCTAGGTAGCAAAGTCATTGTTTCCTACGGAGGGCATTCTAGAAGTTTCTCAGCTCCAGGAATTGGATGTAACCGATTACCTGGATCCCTTGCAATCTGGTTTTAGGCCTAGTCACAGAACAGGGAGCGATTTGGTCTCCTTGGTGGATGACCTCCGGAGGGAACTAGACGGGGAGTGTGTCCCTGCTGGTTCTCTTGGATCTCTCAGCAGCTTTCGATACCATCAATCATGGTATCCTTCTAGGTCAGCTGTCTGGGATGGGTCTTGGGGACAGTTCCCTTCAATGGTTCTGCTCCTTCGTGGAGGGTCGGACCCAGAAGGACACCTGCTCAGACTTCTGGCCATTGACCTGTGGGGTCCCAGAAGGTTCCATTCTATCCCCCATGGTTTTCAATATCTACATGAAGACACTGGGTAAGGTCATCCGGAGTTTTGGAGTTGGGTGCCGTCTCTACGCAGATGACACATAACTCTACTAAAATTGCAACCAGATCACTATCTTTTGCTACAGAAAGCTAAATTGATTGTATGGATCTTTTAATTAATGAAAGTTGCCATATTTTATTGATCGTAATGCTTTTATTAATTTTATATGTTTGGTTTTACATGTGTTATTGCTTTTAATGTTGTCATATTGTATTTTGTATGTTGTATGGCTCCATTGTGTGCTTGTAAGCTGCCCCGAGTCCCTATGGGAGATTGTGGCGGGGTATAAATAAAAGATTGTTGTTGTTGTTTGTTTTTTAATCCTGGCTCTCGGCCCTGCACACTGTGATTTATTTTTAGTGTTTAAATTATTGTGATTTTACATTGTTTACGTCTTTTTGTATTGTGTCTTGTATTTTATTTTTATTTTTATATTTATATTTTACTGTTATTGTATGTTGTTTATTTGAATTGCTGTACTGTTGGGCTTGGCCTCATGTAAGCCACCCTGAGTCCCCTTGGGGAGATGGTGGAGGGGTATAAATAAAGATGATGATGATGATTATTATTATTATTTGAAACGCAACAAGATGAGTCCACAGCAGACAAGATCACTCTGCTGGCTGTTGTATTGGATCACACGTTGGACACTTGCCAAGTGTCTAGGAATGTGTGATGTATCGGCGAATAGTACGTGCAGATCCCGGTAAGGTGGCCTTTTGCAACTGGCAGATGGTAATTTTGTCAGCGCCAATTGTGTTTAAGTGCAGGCCAGGGTCTTTAGGCACTGCACCCAGTGTACCGATCACCACTGGGACCACCTTGACTGGCTTGTGCCACAGTCTTTGCAGTTCGATCTTTAAATCCTCGTTGTTGTTGTTGTTGTTATTATTATCATTATTATTATTATTATTATTATGGGGTTTTACGAATTGTCCATTAAAAATGCATAAGGATGTGGGTAAACTACAGCATTGCCCCCAAACCACACCAGTAGCTAAAGTTGGTCATGATGAGTATGTGTGCCAGGTTTGGTCCAGATCCATTGTCAGTGTGGTTCACAACACACTTTATATTGTATATGAGTGAACTATAACTCCCATTGTCCTCTGTCATTTCTCCCAAACCCTGCCAGCATTAAAATTGGTCATGGTGGATATGTAAGTCAAGTTTGGTCCAGATTCATGCAATCAATCTGGTAATGATGCTTGGATACAGAATAATCTGAGGGTGATTTGAGCATCTTTTACTCTGTTTGCGTACTAATAAAGTCTCTTTATAGGGTCCATAGACATTTTGTAAAATGAATGACACTTCATTTTTCAAAATGAAAGGTAGCTGTACATTCAACTTTAGTATATTGGGGTTTTTTTTGTTTGCAAATCTTTTTCTTTTTTTCTTTCTTCAGAAACTCCAGAGAAGGCTGAAAACTTGGGAGAAACTGGACCAGAGCACTGGTTTAGATATCAAGTAAGTGAAGGATGGTAGTGAAATTTTGAGCCATGAGTTCTATCCCTATTACACAGTATAAGAGAGTTGACTATGTCCCTTGTTTTCTATCATTTATACAATATATGGATGGTTATATATATAGTGCCCTTGATAATTCACTGGTATGTTGAAAAAATTGGCAGCATTTCCCTAATGGAATAAGGATGATGACTTGTTAGGATCACAACCTATTGGGGTTTATGGATTATGACCTTTTAGGATCACAACCTATTGGGAATTATGGATTATGACCTGTTAGGATCACAACCTATTGATGTAAAGAGGCCACCAGTTTGTAAAGATGGCACCCAGTTTGTAACGATGTCACCAATTTGTAACGGTTTGTAAAGGAGCCACCACTTTGAAGGACTTATTAAATTGATAACACAACTAATAGCTTGTGATATTGATTTATGTTTTCTTCAATGTGTAGCGTGGCTTAACTTGAAAGTATTTGTAACAGAGACTTGGCTTTAGAAGAAACCGTAACAAGTTTACTGAAGTATAGAAGAAGCTTGATGGTTTCAATGTATCTTAACTCTTAGAGGCACATATCTTCAGAGGTTACATTTATAACATTTCATAAACCAACTCTTAAGAGGACTATTCCTTCCACTAAACAGGTTTCAAACTTATTTTCCTTCAAAATGTGTTTCTTTCTTTAACAGATTACTTCAGGCACAAGCTTATCTTTTCCTTATGTTATTTCTGTTGCAATAAAGATTGTTGTTAGGGTTCTCTCCCCCTTTTACTCATAGTCATATACTCAGACTAATAATATAAATAAGTCAACTCGACCTATCTAAACTACGCCGGCTAAAAGCCCAAACCTTCCTGATTCTCAACGCAGTAGATTCAGCCTTTCCCTGTAGTTCTTAGACTACAGACTACTTTACTGGTTCTCAATACAGTACAGAACCAGCCTTGCCTGTAGTTCGCTGACTACAGACTAACTGTTTTAAAATGGCTGCCCTGCCAAGTGGCAGTTGGCTCTACCCCTTTTTCCATGGCAACTCAGCTCAGAGTAAGCTAAACTGGCTACCATCCCCCAATTATGCTAGTTTAAATATTTACCCTTTTAAACACGTATCTATTATTATACATAATTGTAGATTAAAACTCACACTTCACCACAATTGGGAATTATGGATTATGACCTGTTAGGATCACAAGCTATTGGGGATTATGGATTATGACCTGTTAGGATCACAACCTATTGGGGATTATGGATTATGACCTGTTCGGATGATAAGCTATTGGGAATTATGGATTATGACCTGTTAGGATCACAACCTATTGGGTATAGAAGTGTTCCTTCCATTTATTGAGTAATGGATGATTGCTGGGCTTGTAAATATCTTGTTTCTATTCCATTCTCTCAGTAGACAAAGATTCAAGTACACTTCTTTTAAAATAACATTTTTGTTTTACTCATAACTTCATGTATTTAAATATACAGGTACATTTCTTGTCAGGTTAAACTTTAAAACATTTCAGTTTGTGTCTTTAACTTATAGTCTTTAACAATCTCTTCAAAAATATATTCTCCTGTACAGTTCTCTTTCATAATCGTCTACTTTCAAAGGAACTCATGGCCCAACAGTTTTTTAACTTCTAACACTGGCTTCTGTATTCTAACTGACTCAGGCCTCAACTGTTATTCCTCAACTGTCATCATGTTTAAAATGCATTCTGAACAGTCTCGTGATCTGCAGCCCCTCCCACTGCCTCAAGTACATAGAGCTAAGGAAACTGCAAACCAAAGAAGACACACTTCAGGAAATAAAAATACACATTTTTTTTGTGTCAGGAGTGACTTGAGAAACTGCAAGTCGCTTCTGGTGTGAGAAAATTGACCATTTGCAAGGATGTTGCCCAGGGGATGCCTGGATGTTATACCATCCTTGTGGGAGGCTTCTCTCATGTCCCCATATGCGGAGCTGGAGCTGACAGAGGGAGCTCAACCCGCTCTCTCCAGATTCGAACCACTGACCTGTTGGTCTTCAGTCCTGCCAGCACAAGGGTTTAACCCATTGCGCCACCGGGGACCATGACACTGGGGGCAATAACGACACATTATAGAGAGACATAACATTAAATAGAGGAGGCTTGTTATGAGTTTTCCGGACTGTATGGCCAGGTTCCAGAAGCATTCTCTCCTGAAGTTTCACCTTCATCTATGGCAGGCATCCTCAGAGGTTGTGAGGTCTGTTGGAAACTAGGAAAATGGGGTTTATATATCTGTGGAATAATGTCCAGGGTGGGAGAAAGTATTCTTGTCTGTTCGAGGTAGGTGTGAATGCTTCAACTGGCCACCTTGATTAACATTTAATGGCTCAGCAGTTTCAAGGTCTGGTTTCTTACTCTGTGGGGGAATCCTTTGTTGGGAGATGATTAGCTGGCTCTGATTGTTTCTTGTCTGGCCAGTTGAAACATTCACACGTACCCTGAACAGACAAGAGTTCTTTCTCCCACCCTGTTTTTCTTGTTTCCAACAGACCTCACAACCTCAGAGGATGCCTGCCATAGATGTGGGTGAAATGTCAGGAGAGAATGCTTCTGGAACATGGCCATACAGCCCAGAAAACTCACAACAACCCAGTGATTCCACCCATGAAAGCCTTCGGCAATAAATAGAGGAGGCTTGAGAAGGTTGCTATCTCCAACATTATCAGCCTTGGTGGACCATTAGCTTTTAAACTTTGCTTTGTAGTAGTAGAGTAGTAGTAGTAGAGTAGTAGACAAATAGATGAAGAAAATGCTGTGTGTTTCTCCTCAACCTGTGGGTTTGATAACAGGAGGATATTATTAAAATTTAGGGTAGTTGTGAGGCATGTGATCTTACCTTATACACTCTGAGATTATACAGAGCAGGTAGTTCTCTATACTGATTTCTTTTGTATATTAGGAAACATTACAAAGCGGGGAGATTTTGACATTATCAGAACATGTTTTGGTGCAGGGACTGCTTAGAGTAACTGCTTAACACATAAAATGTTTTGGCATTAAATGTAATGAGATTTGGGGAACTGAAGCTTTGAATCCCTAATATTCTCTCTACCAACTTCCCTGTGATGGGCAAAATTCCCCCTTCTAAAGTTAAATGCTAAATGCATTCATGGCACAACTCTGTTGTCTAACCATTTAAAAGGTGGCTCATGCATATGGAAATAGGCCATTATCCACCAGATGGCATACTTCTTCGGAATGGACTAAGACAACGGCTGGATTTTTTCCCTAGGAAAACTGTTGATTTTCTTGTAGTACTTTTCTGCTCTTCATGCAGTCAAATACATCAAGGGAGATTATGGCAGATAGAAAGTTAGGTTTATAATGCCCTCTGATAACCCTGAGGAGAAAGCAGATGTCCACACCTTTACTACTGTGCAGGAAATTGAGGATGCTTGCCATAGATGCAGGCGAAATGTCAGGAGAGAATGCCTCTAGAACATGGCCATATAGCCCGAAAAAAACCGACAACAACCCAATTGTGGATTCCCTCTTTCAGTGGGCTTTCACCATTATAGAATCATAGAATCATAGAGTTGGAAGAGACCTCATGGGCCATCCAGTCCAACCCCATACTGCCAAGAAGCAGGAATATTGCATTCAAAGCACCCCCGACAGATGGCCATGCAGCCTCTGTTTAAAAGTTTCCAAAGAAGGAGCCTCCACCACACTCCGGGGCAGAGAGTTCCACTGCTGAACGGCTCTCACAGTCAGGAATTTCTTCCTCATGTTCAGATGGAATCTCCTCCTTGTAGTTTGAAGCCATTGTTCCACATCCTAGTCTCCAGGGAAGCAGAAGACAAGCTTGCTCCCTCCTCCCTGTGGCTTCCCCTCACATATTTATACATTGCTATCATGTGTCCTCTCAGCCTTCTCTTCTTCAGGCTGAACATGCCCAGCTCCTTAAGCCGCTCCTCATAGGGCTTGTTCTCCAGACCCTTGATCATTTTAGTTGCCCTCCTCTGGACACATTCCAGCTTGTCAATATCTCTCTTAAATTGTGGTGCCCAGAATTGGACACAATATTCCAGGTGTGGTCTAACCAAAGCGGAATAGAGGGGTAGCATGACTTCCCTAGATCTAGACACTATGCTCCTATTGATGCAGGCCATTGAGAATAATTTTTCTGTCTTAGTTTCGATAAGAATTTATATTGTAAACACAAAGTATGATGTTGGTAGTGCATCCTTTGGGGGGGGGATGTGCGATGCCAGCTAGCTTATAGAGTCTATCAACAGGTGTAAGTTTAAGACATCCTGTAATTATTCTACATGTCTCAGTCAGTGCTATGTTCACCTGCTTTGTGTAGGCAGATTTACACCTGACGGGACAGGCATACTCAGCAGTTGAGTAAGACAAGGCCAGAGCTGATGTTCTTATTCATTTTGGGTCTGCTCCCCATGCGCTGCTAGTAAATTTCCGCAGGATGTTACTGCATGCAGCTACTTTGTGCTCATACACTGTTTCCTAAATGTTAGTATTCAATCTAAGGTGCAAATGAATGGGAATATTTGCCAGAAATGAATGAATCTTTCTGGCTGATATGAAGCCATTGCTACAATTCAGCCTTATGTTATCATTTCTTCTTTTCACATCCCGCCTCGACTACTGCAACGCTCTCTACGTGGGGCTGCCCTTGAAGACGGCCCGGAAGCTTCAGCTAGTCCAGCGCGCGGCAGCCATGTTGTTAACTGGAGCAGGACGCAGGGAGCATACAACGCCCTTGTTGTCCCAGCTCCACTGGCTGCCGATTTGCTACCGGGCCCAATTTAAGGTGCTGGTGTTATCCTACAAAGCCCTAAACGGTTCCGGCCCAAAATACCTTTCTGACCGTATCTCGGCCTACGAGCCCACGAGGACCTTGAGATCTTCTGGGGAGGCCCTTCTCTCGGTCCCGCCTGCCTCACAGGCACGCCTGGCGGGGACGAGAGAACGGGCCTTCTCAGTGGTGGCCCCCCGGCTGTGGAACT